CAGGTTTACACCAAGGCTTTCCTGAAGGCCTCTGCAGCCAATAACAGAGCTCCAGATCGAGTGCAGCTCCACCACCACCCACCCCCACCCTAGCTTAATTTTTACCTGTCTACTCTGGTGTGGGCAGGACGTTAATTAGGGCTTATTTTTTTGGGGGGTAGGACTTACATTGGGTGCACGTGTAAAAATCAAGCCTAGGACTTACTTTCAAAGTGGGTCGTATTTTCGGGGAAACAGGGTACATAAACATGCATTTAATGAGCTGAAGCCCTCTCCCCTCCCCCCAGTGATATATTTCACAAATTTGGATTAACTATCATTTTTTTAAGGCTCAGTGTCAACTCATAAAACATTTTGTATACACGTTTTATAGTTGACAACAGAAAGAAGGGAGGGGAGTTTCAAAGAGCAGGCAGCAGTGTGGAATCGAAAGTACATTCCATTCGTATTTTCTTTGAAGACTGATTAGATGACTGAAGCTTCTGCCTCGAAAAAATCTAATTGGAGAGCATGATTGATGACTCTTTGCTATGGACGTGTTTTGTTGGATGATACACCCAGAGGGGTGGGAGGGAAAGCAGGATCAAGGGGGACTAGAACGTTAACTTCAAATAAATCCTTTTTAGTTTTGGGAGTGTGGCTGGAGGCTCATGATTTAACTGGAGTAACTGCCAGAATCCTGACACTCAGTTTGTAGCGAGTGCAGTTCCGAGAAATCAGTATTTGATACAGGAAGTCCTCAACGTACGACCACATTTCGCCCCAAAATGTATGTTGCTAAGGGAGAAACGTGTTCTGTGAGGTTTGCCTGATGTTATGACTTTTCTTGCCACGGTTGTTAAGTGAATCATCGCAGTTGATAGTCACAAGGTTGTTAAGTGAATCTGGTTTCCCCATTGACCTTGTTTCTCAGAAGGTTGCAAAAGGAGGATCACGTGACCCCGGGACATTGCGACCGTCATAAATATGAGTCAGTGGCCAAGCGTCCGAATGTAAACCCTATGACCATGGGGATGCTGCAATGGTCGCAAGTGTGAAAAACGGCCCTAAGTCACATTGTTTCAGTGCTGTTGTAACTTCGAACGGTCATTCAGGGAACTGTTGTAAGTCGAGGACTACCTGTAGTAGGACATTTCATTGAAAGGTCAAAGAACTTGAAATTAAAGCAAATTTTGAAATTTGTTGGCTTGGGCACCAGGGTTAGATTCAGGCAGTGGTTTGGAGCCACAGGTATGAATGGTCAAACGGTCAACTGAATGGAGAACACCAACATTTGGGGCCTCTTCCATTTACAGATACAGATAATCAGAGTTGGAAGGGACCATGTAGGTCATTTAGTCCAACCCCCTGCCTAAGCAGGAGACCCTACCCCATTTCTGACAAATGGCAGTCCAATTTATTTATTTCGTATTTACTTCGTAAGATTTATTTATTACACGTCCAATAAGCCAGTGGGAAAAAAGTAATAGCCACTGTAGATTCAGTAACTGTCTGCATTTAATCTTTTGCTTAACCTTTTTTTGGGGGATTTGGTAATTAATCTTCCCAGCGCTTCACAAAAATTGACAGAAGAAAATATTTCTAGCTCAGGCTTGAACTGTGGGGACCTTGTTGCTCTCTGAGCTTGGTGGTTTGGCTGAAGACATTTCATGACCCACCTAGGAAACGTCATCAGTGCTAGAAGGGAGTGGGGTTTGTGAAGTGGAAGAGATGGAAGAGAAGGGGGAGGAGGACTGTGAGGTCCTTGGTGCTCTCTGAGTTGGTTCTTTTCTTGCAGACATTTCATGACCCAACTAGGAAACCTCATCAGTGCTGGAGGGGAATCGGGTGAGTAGAGTAGAGGAGGAGGAGGAGGACTGTGGGGTCCTCAATGCTCTCTGAGCTTAGTGATTTTCTTGCAGATGTTTCATGACCCAGTTAGGTAACAACATCAGTGTTAAAAAGGAGTGGGGGTTTGCAGAGACTGTGGTCTGTGGTGCCCTTGGAGCTTGGTTGTTTTCTTGCAGACGTTTCCATGCCTAGCTAGAGAACATTATCAGTGCTGGAAGGGTTTACTCACTGTTTATATACAGTGGCCTGGCCTGTCGGTGTTGGTGAGTGTTGTTAAACAGCCCCCTCTAGCACTGAAGATGTTCCCTAGTTGAGTCATGAAACGTCTGCAAGAAAACCACCAGGCTCAGAGAGCACCATGGACCACACAGTTATCCTTTCCCTCCTCTACTCTACAAACCCTCCAGCACTGATGATGTTCCCTAGTTGGGTCATGAAACACCTGCAAGTCAGACACTTCATGGACGTTTGAGCCTCTTCGGCCTGGGCGAAATTTTGTTTCACGGTTAGATGCATTTGAGGGCATTGTACAATGTGGAGTCCTGCCACAGCATTTTATTGGTGTTTGGATCGGAATTTGGGCCTGGCCATTCCGAAAGAATGAACTGATGATACTTTTTCATCCATTTTCTTACACTTTGCTTGAATGCTTGAAATCCTCTCTCTTGTTCCATAACCCTCTTGCGCTTCAGGTGATGAGAAAATGGCCTCAGATCTGCTTCCTGCGCAGGCGCCCACTCAAATATTGGAATCAAAAGAGAGCCGGAAGGGACCTTAGAGGTCTTCAAGTCCAACCCCTGCTCAAGCTGGAGACCCTACCCCATTTTTTGACTGTCCAGTCTCTTCTTAAAAACTCCCAGTGTTGGAGTATTCACAACTTCTGGTGGCAAGCAGTTCCACTGATTAATTGTTCTCACTGTCATGAAATTTCACCTTAGTTCTAGGTTGCTTCTCTCCTTGACGAGTTTCCATCCGTTGCTTCTTCTCCTGCCTTCAGGTGCTTTGGAGAATAGCTTGACTCCCTCTTCTCTGGGGCAGCCCCTCAGATACTGGAAGGCTGCTATCCTGTCCCCCCTGGTCCTTCTTTCCATTAAAAAGAATGAAACACAGTTCCTGCAACCGTTCTTCCCATGTTTTAGCCTCCAGACTCCTAATCCTCTTTGCTGTTCTTCTCTGCACTCTTCCTGATGACCAGGTTAATTGAGTAATCTATGGTCCAGTTGCCCTTTGTTTAGCTTGCTGTGCCAAGCAAGAAAAATCTCTCTCTCCCTCTCTCCCTCTCCTTCCCTCTCCCCCTCTCCCTCTCATTCTCTCTCCCTCTCCCCCTCATTCTCTCCCTCTCTCCCCCTCCCCCTCCCTCCCTCTTCCCCCTCATTCTCTCCCTCTCTCTCCCTCTTTCCCTCTCTCCCTCTTCCTCCCTTTCTCCCTCTCTCTCTATCTTTCCCCCTCTCCCTCCCTCTCCCCCCTCTCTCTCCCCCCTCATTCTCTCTCTCCCTCTCTTCCTCTCTCTCCTTCTCCCTCTCCCTCTCTCCCTCTCCCTCCCTCCCTCTCCCCCTCTCCCTCTCTCTTCTCTCTCCCTCTCCCTCCCTCTCTCCCTCTCCTTCTCCCCCTTTCTCCCCTACATTCTCTCTCCCCCCTCTTCTTCTCTCTCCCTCTCCCCCTCCCTCTCCCTCTCTCTCCCCCTCTCCCTCTCCACCCTCATTCTCTCTCCCCCTCTCCCTCTCCCTCTCCCCTTCTCTCCCCTCTCTCCCCCCCCTCTCCAAAAGTTCATTTAGGTTTCCACTCTGCCTTTTTACTCCAGGACTAAAGTTGCATTATCCGAAGGATTTTTTGGTTTGGTGTTGTTTTTTTTAACACATTTCTTCCTTTCTCCCCCCACCTTTTTTTTTGTTCATAGCCCCGAAGACTTATTATGCCCTAGAGGTGATAAACGATTCTAGGTCTGTAGTAGCTCTAGTATTTTAATGAGCTTTTCTTACCCAAATGACTTCAGACTGCAATAAAGCTCTCCGGTTGTGTTAAATCAGAATCCCCGTGCCTTTTGCCCGTAATTTAAATGAGCAAATTAACCAGCACCGTTAACAGTAAATTTGCCTCCTCTCTTAAAACCGAACTGGGGCAGAACGTGTTATTCCAACCAACTTGTCTTCAATATATTGAGTCGCGTTGCTTGGTTTGAACGCTTTAGCCTGTAATTCTGAATTGCAGAATTCTGGAGTGGCGTGGTTGGACGTTTGTTTTAGAAAGTCTAAAAAAAGACTGTTACTAAAATGTCTAGAAAGGCTTGTTCTAAGAAGCAGCAGATTCTGTCTCTAACATCTGTCTCCAGTCTACAACACAGTCCTTTCAGCAGTTCCAAGAAGGCTCCACACTCATTTGCACCACTCAGGTGGCCCCGAGGACACAGGTAAACCTCCAGGTGGCCTCAACGACTCTTCGAAAAGGACGCAAATGACCAGCTGTCTGCAAGAGGTATAAATCCTTCCCTTCCCCACCATCCAGCCAGAGCTGAAGAAGCTTCTCGGATGAGAAGTGAAACATCTTCAAAGAAAAACGAGAAAGTCCAGTTGCCTCCTGAAAAAAGCACCTTTGGGACAACCAGGACCTGGGTGACTGAGAATCTCTACAAATTGGGATGAACAGCCTTTGAATGGTGTGGGAATAGGAATGGATTTCCAGGGGGGGAAAATTGCAGACTACAGGAAACATTTGCACCACTCAGGTGACCCTGAGGACACAGATAAACCTCCAGGACTCTCTAAAAGGACACAAATGGCCAGCTGTCTGCAAGGAATATAAATCCTTCCATTCCCCACCATCCAGTCAGAGCTGAAGAAACTTCTTGGAGGAGAAGCGAAATATCTTCAAAGAAAAAAAACAGAAAGTCCAGTTGCCTTTTTAAAAAGCACCTTTGGGAGTCATTCAGTCTGTAGATCACATCATGACTGGCTGTCACCTGTGGGCGTATACCTGTCCAGTACCTGATCTCCCTCCCTCCCTCCCTCCCCAAACGATGCTGCGCTTCAGTGGTTAGGTGATCTAGACATTGGTATCTGAACATAGATCCTTTTGACACTCCAATTTTATTGCATTTTGTAAAACATAGGCAAAATGTTAATATATATAATGCAAATCCATGTATGCCGTACACTCAATCAGTGTTGGCGAACCTTTTCAGCACCGAGTGCCGAAAACCGGAAGAGCAGTTCCCCGGCGCACATGTGCATGCCGGGAAGCTGAGCTGCTGGTTTCCAGTGAGCACATGCGCACCAGCCCCCTGGTCTTCCAGTTTCTGGTCGTACATGCGTGGATGAAGACAGCTGGATGGCACGCATATGCATGCTGGAAACCGGAAGCTCAGCTTCCCGGCACACGCGCATATGCAACCGGCCACCTGGTCTTCCGGTTTCCGGCGCTCCTGTGCGCGCAAAGACCACCAGGCACACCAGAACCCGGAAGAGTAATGGGCAACGGCTGCTGTGCCTGGAGAGATGGCTCTAGGCATGCCACTTCCGGCACACGCGTCCTAGGTTTGCCATCACGGCACTAAATAAATAACCAAGGGGGTGCTGCAGTGGCTGTAACTTCTAAAACAAGGTCATATGTAGCTTTTTGGAGGGAATGCGTCGTAACTTTGAATGGGCGTTAAGTGACCGCTCGTATCTCGAGAACTACCCATATAGTACAAAACTGGGCTTCTTATCTTAGCAGCTTTAACATGCCTGGACTTCAGTTGTTAAGGTTGAGAGACACACTAGGAGAGGCTCCATGCTTTAGTAAAGAGAACGCTGCATAATAGTAGGATAGCGCAAGTTTTAGGATAGAACTAAGGAGAATTTTTTCTGTCAGTCAGAACAGCCAATCAACAGAACGACTTGTCTCCAGAAGTTGTGGATGCTCCAACACTGGAGTTTTTAAAGAAGAGATTGGACAGCCATTTGTAATGGTGTAGGGTCTCCTGCCTGAGTAGGGAGGGAGGGGGGTTGGACTAGAAGACCTCCAAGGTCCCTTCCGACTCTGTTATTCTGTTACTCTGTTATAAGGTCATGCCCACCTTGATTTTGAGACTCGTGGTCTAGTAAAAAAAACCTTGATTATAGGGATTTTCCCCTCTCCTGCCTGAACCCGTCACTGTTCTGAAACCTATGACAAATGTATATAATTAGGTAAACGGCAGAAAAAGAGCCTCATGTGGAGATGGGGATTTGGACGTCTCTCTCTTGTCCCTGTCCATTGGTTCCTTTGTCAGAAATGGTTTCAGGCTTCCTGTTTCGGCAGGGGGTTGGCCTAGAAGACCTCCAAGGTCCCTTCCGACTGTGATTATGTCGTTCTGTTCCATTTCAGATACCACAGGATAGTTTCTGATTCCGATGATTGTCCAGTCTGTGGTTCCTAGTGAGGACGATATAAGCCAGGGGTGTCAAACTGGATTTCTTTGACGGACAGATCATCATTTTAGGACAGATGCCTCCTGCAGAACTCTGCCAGGCTGAAAACAGGTGGTTTGGGCCTGTTTTTCGGCCCATTTTCAGCCCGCAGAGTGTTGCGGGAGGCCAAGGAGGGTGAAAATGAGCTCCCCCCCCACATGCGGCCCATTTTAGCCGCCAGAGGCACCGCGGGCCGGTCCCTTGATAGTTCCAGGATGGTCCCGTGGGCTTTGAGTTGGACACCCCTGACCTAAGCAAATGGGCATTTAGTTCAGGTCAGCATTAATCTGGGCATCCTACAGCGCGGAAATGTTTTTTTCACCACAGTTTCCACCTCCAGTGTCTCAAACCCCACCTTACAGAGCCGCCTCAGAATCCGTCATTAGAAAAATCAGGTTTTCTGCTCGTCAGGCACGCTTACACGGCTGACCTCAAGCAGGCTTGGAATAATTGTGCTTGGTTTGACTTCCTAAGGGTTTATTTGTAAATGATTCATCTGCCTCAGCCAAATAGGAATTGCCTGCTTAGATGCTCAGCCCATCAATTTGAGTCAAACGATTTGTGGTGGGGTTTGTTTTTTTTTGGCAAGAACTTGGCCAGATAAATAAAATGGCTGGAGTTATATCTCATCCTCGGGTCCTTTTCCTAAGATTAAGGCCTTACTTAGTTTTCTTGGCTGTCTCGTTCGGGAACAACAATCCTATATATCTAGGGTAATAGAATTTCTATTTAACAATCTACATCCTCGCTTTTATTCCCTATTAGGGTCTGGGTGATCGATACGTAACCCAATTGATTGCTAAGGTCAAATGTGCCGTGTCTTTATAGCCAGGTTGTATTTATTGTGCTTCTGAGGTTGTTTCGATGGGCCATTAGCCTTTTTTTCCCCTATCCATACATACACCAGGGCCCCATAAACCTCCCCCGCCCCCCCGATGCATGGATCGGCAGGCACCTTAATTGTTAGGCATTGTATGCCCATGGTCAGGTGCCAGATCTGAGTCTTGAAAGAGTTAAAATACCTCTCCAGAGGTGAAATTAATCTAATGATCAATTGCAGGGTAGATTGTTTTGCTGTCTTCCCAGGGGGGCTGTTTGTGGAGATTTTATAGACCAATCAAAATAGAGCTGGAAGGGACCTTGGAGGTCTTCTAGTCCAGCCCCTTGCTCAAACAGGAGATCTGACACCATTTCAGACAAGTGGCTGTCCAATCTCTTCTTTCAAAACCTCCAGTGATGGAGTACCCACAATTTCCAGAGGCAAGCAGTTCCACAGGCTAATTCTTCCCACGGTTAGGAAGTTTCTCCTTAATTCCAGGTTGCTTCTCTCCTTGATGAGTTTCCATCCATTTCTTCTTGTCCTGCCCTCTGATGCTTTGGAAAATTAATTGACCCCTTCTTCTTTGTGGCAGGCCCTCAAATATTGGACCAGAGAGGTATGAGGGCATCTCTGGAAAAAATCAGCAAAGGTCAGATGGAAGAAAGCTCCTGTCATGACCGGGGCGTGGCACAAAAGCAGCATAGTCAGATAATCAGTAGGAGTCCCTTTATTAGCTCCAACTTGCCCCCAATGTCCTGGTTACCTTCTGGCTGGAGAAAATTTCTCCCAGGAACAGCCTTTGGCTGCAGAGAATCAAGTCCAAAACGTGGTCAACAAAAACTGTAAGTCCAATCAAGGCAAAATGTGGTAATTACTCCGGCAGGGCAGGAGCAAGAATTCCAGATGTGAAGGAACGAAAGTAATTCAACCCGGTTAGGAGGATGCCAGGAATGCAGATAAGCCACGACAACACAAGATAAACTCACATTTGTTCCCAGCAGACGCTGCACTCAGCATGCATCGCTTTTAAAGTCTCTTTCCAGCTGTGGCTAATGAAGGGAATCAGGGCCCTTTCCTCCCCTGTAAGCCATGCAACCTATGTTTCTCTCTTCTCCGTTCCTCCCTGTGTGCCCTAGGATGAAGAGGGGGGTGGGCCTGGGTCTTCCTTTGAACTCCCTCTCCCTTGCTCTACTTCTCCCCCTGCTCTGCCCAGCCGGCCTTTGCCCTTCCCCAGTTTCCTCCACAGCCAACTGGAGCCACACTCCCAGTCCCTGTGGGCTGTTCGTCTTCCTCCTTGGATTCAGACTCCAACGGGCATGACAGCTCCCATGAACTTATTGCTTCAGAGGACACGTCAGTAGACTCGGCCCAGTGTTTTAAGTCAAAATTTGAGAATACCTATGAACAAACTTTCTTTACCATAATGATTTTCAGATATTGGAAAGATCAGGTCCACTTATGAAGGCCCAGTTAAACTAATTTATTGCTAAAACTTATGTGTGGGGATCTTCTCAACTAACTGGAGTTAGATAAAGGCCAAGGGCAATCAATGGGTTTGGATTTAGTCCACTTGTGGCTGATCCCCCTTTTAACTTCACCCCCAGGTTCCGCCACTCCTCCTCCCTACTACGTTATTGCAATAGATCAGATTTTTTAAGTGGAACCCAATGCTGAAATATGGAAACCAAGGGGTCTCTCAAAGTGGTGGATTTCGAGATAACTTTGGAGTTCATGTCCGTAATAGCAGTCAGGGACCTGATTC